CATTCCCCATCCTTGTAAAACAACAGGGACAAAGCCGCAAAAACTCCAAGACAAGGCCAGAAATCTTGTTTGTACACTTAGTTGGAAAAAGTAGGCAAAGGTTAATAAAAACACCAGACATCCATATAGAAAAATATCAAAAGTTGACTTTTTACTGATTTTGACACTGATAAATGTGCAGAATAATGTGTGATGGTGTTTTTCAAATGACAGTTTTGAGTTCAGATTTTGTCGTTGGTGTGGAATGATGACGATATTAGTTAATTTGATATTTTAAAAAAAGAAACATTGTGTGGGCCTGTGACCGTTTACCCACAATGCCTGTGACGAAGCTAACAGCACACACACTGGCTTGTGACATTTTCTTTGGACAAGCTGTTCATCTCTCAGTTTGTACAGACGTATACAAAGTATTTAAAATGAACTCTGAGATGTGGAGTTCTTAAAAACTTAAGTGTGTTTCTATTACATAACTGTGAGCAATAGGAGAGAAATGCATTCTGTATACATCTACCAGCAACACCTATAATAAACTTGAAATGCTCAAGGTAAATTATATTATTTGAATGAAGTGAACACRTATATCTTCTGTTGCTTTGAGGCACTTGGTAAAATCTCTAAATTTGGGCTCAGGCTGAGCATGAACTGCACAGTAAGAAGTTTAGGATATTTCTGGACCTTAGAACTAAGTACCTCTTTGACATGTTGACAGAACTAATGTGCTTACAACGTTTAAAGTTTCTGACAGTGCAATAAAAAGCCTCCAGTTTATATCTTGAAAGTATTCCATTGATATTTCTATCCTGCGACCAATTAAACTATGTATGCTGTATGATTTCATTAGGATTAGTTTCATAGTCTGGTTTAATCTGTAGATTGGYGCATACTTAAGCATATGGGGATACAATAACTTTGTGTCAAAGTCAAGGAACGCAGGCCAAATGTGGTCCACCATGGCATTTTATGCGGCCTGCAGGAGCTTCAAACACATACWAATGTCTTAAAATAAGTGTATGCTTCATTAAAGTCAGCATTGACCATGAACTACATTTCCCAGAATGCATGCTGATTATTTTACCAGCTAAATGATGGCATCCAACCACTATGTGGAGGTGCACAGGGTTCAAAAGTAGCAAGCAGCTGACAAAATTTGCCGTGTAAAATCTCGACTCCCTGGCACTTTCTCTGGAAACTTTTTCTGCGTCCCAGTTGTACTGGGAAGTCAAACMTTTTCACTTACAAGCTTTAACCTTAAACTGGAAAGACTCCGCCTGTGAGAGAGTTCAGAATTCAAGATGGCAGTTGCTCACCACAGCTCAAGTGGATAAATCTTATCTCAACATAGTATTTCTGCATGACTTATTTCATATTTAGTCAGTTGTTCACACTGTACTTTTCAGTGTTATAAGAGGACGTGTTAAAAGACTGTTTCTATGCAAAATATACCACATATACCACATTGTAGTTAAACATGAAATGTTAAAGTTGATTACAACTGGTCCTTTGAGGGCCACCATGATGCTCATGTGGCCCTCAGTGAAAATGAGTTTKACACTCCTACAATAAACTGTAATATAAGATGCAGTTTATAAGATTCAGATCTTTTGGCCTGAGGTTCATTGGACTGAGAATTTAATGCTCTTTTTTCAAACCAAGGTTGATCAAAGAGCTGTCTACAACATGTAAGATATTATTTGTTAACAATCTTCAATAGAACCCCACTCTAAAAGATCTGACCTTTTGCTTTAAGGTTTCATTTTCACTTAATGGTGCATTAATCCCCCGAATCTTCTTGGCACAGTCAGGATGAGGGAGAAATAACCAGGTAAATACTGTAAATAAAGCTCAGTTGGGAGCCATGCTTGTCGGACAGAAAATATTGTTATGAAATGAAGGTCACTGCATTTTTTTGGCGTTGTTGTCAAATTAGACTTATTACAGGTCGGCCTACAAAAAGAATGTTATTGCCTTGAATTCCAAAACATTTAACTTATGAATACAGAAATCTGAAACATGTCTAAACATGTCTCAAAATGGCCTTTGGGGTTAAAAGAAACTTTTGATTACTGCTACTGTGTATAATCATGTATTAAAATGTGTGAAATATACTCCAAGTGAACAGAAGGACAAATTCCTCAAACATTTCATAATGTAAATGATAATATCATGCTTTATCTTAAATGTCATATATTGAACTTTTTATAAAACAAACTGTGTGCAACACTTTTCATGTTTCAGTGTATCTGTTGCAGAAATCAAATGAGCTGGCGTTTGTTTRCTAAGAAACAAGACTGCTCTGCCATCTAGTGGTCAATTAAGGTTCTGCGTYCACAGCCACTCTGAGAAATGTGCTAAATAATGAGACATTTCAGAAGAACTGGAAGAAATTACAAAAAAAGTTGCTCTGAATCCTGTGACTTGTGATGAAATAGTTGGTGAACTAATATTCTTTCATCAGTCAAACGTTTTTCCTTCTCGATGAACAGATAAATAAACAAATAGACAAACTGCAATAGTTAAGAGTAAAGGTGTTGTGAGTGACCCTCAGCTACTACCAAACCAAATTTTAATTTATTTGGTGGCAGGGGATAAACATATAAACTGTTACWGCGGTTAAATGTAAACAATCACAAAACTGACTGAGATAATTAGGTTTTTGTATCAAACCTAAAGCAACAATAAAATGTATTCAGACAAATAAAGTTTTTCTTTTATTTGACACACTTATCAGCCATCCCATTCTAAGCATTGGTAAGCTCATCTAAGAAAAACATGGCACTAAATAAAGAACGCTGAGCAACAATAAAGTAACATGCTCTTATTTCCTGAGATAAATTATTTACCTTTAAATGGAGCAGGAATTACTGTCAGTACAGGGAGGACAGCCCCTCTTCATTCCTGTTGCAGATAAACTAACAAYGCTCTGACTTTTATTAAGATCTAGTGATTTATGTTTTCCACATGACTAATGTTATCTAGACAAAACTGTCCCGGGGAGAAATCAGAGGTGAATAAGCTTGAAATTAAAACACTCCTTAAAATATTCCCAGTTCACTCCTTACATTGTGACAGTTTTTCCTCTTTTTTTCCCAAGTTTTCAAGAATTAATGTTTGGGTATGAAAGTAATGCTTTATCATGAAGATCAAATATGTTTTTAATGATGGGACTTTSATAATAAATTCAACAGAAAATACTGTTTAAAGAATAAGTTTCTTCATAAAATTCTGATCAAGACAAGAAAAAAGACAACTGATTAAAGACAATAAAATGTATCTGTGTGGTGTGTACCACTGACGTTTGTAATTCTGCCTCAGGGAAAAAAATCTCATTTCAGACATGAATTTCATAAACTTCTTTGAAATATTTTACTAAACTTCATTTTCAGGTTATTCTATTTTATTCTATTGTGGGGTTTTTTTTTTGTGGTGTTGCTAATTTTAGCTATTGTTTTGTTTATCTAAGCCAGGGGTTTCCAACCAATAGCTCGTGAGCTACCAGTAGCTCTTGGGCTCATTTAAAGTAGCTCYTCAGTGCTTATGAAAAATTAGGAGAAGCYAAATTTAATTTATCACTGGCCAAACAAACTTTCATTTAACTCCAATCAATCTATAGATGTCCCTTCGCCAAACGGTTTAGGGCTCAGTATGGTTGCTCGGCAAACGACGCGTGGTTATGTGGTTGTTCCCCTTGACACACACTGTGCTAAGCTCCTGGGAAACCCCTCCTGCTGTGGTTTATGTCACTACAGGGGGATTCTTCCCACTGGAGTCTACAATGCAAAAAAAAAAAAAAAATTGGAGACCTGTCACCTGACGTTATTTGTGCACAGATTTGTCGCAGTTAAACCCTAAGTTAAAAGTGTGAAAWACATTGATATGAATGGATAAACACAAAAAGCACATTTGTGTAAATTCAGTGTTTCATGTGAATTGAAGATGTTTTCTGTGCTAAACAAGCTTAATCCAATGGTTTAAGTTGCAAAAATGTTGCAAAAAGTAGCTCTCGGACARTTTCATTTTGTGAAAATAGCTCTTAAGGAAAAAAAGGTTGGAGACCCCTGAAAGCTTTCCGCTAAATGTAACTAATTTCAGCTTTTGGCTTCTGTTTTGCTAATTTTAGCTTTTACCTACTGCCCTGTTAATTTATGTGTTTGGCTGCTGTTTTGCTCATTTTAGCCTTTAGCTATTGCTTTGTTAATCTAGACTTTTTGCTGCTGTTTTGCTAATTTTAGTCTAAGTTCGGCTTTTAGAACATAGTTAGCTAATTTTAGCTTTTAGGATCTGTTTAGCTTATTTAGGATTCTATTTTGATATTTTAATCTTTAGCTACAGTTTAGTTAATTTTAGCTTTAAGCAAATTTCCTAATTTCAGCTTTCTGCAGTGTTTTTTTTTCTGATTTTAGCTTTCTGCATTTATTTTGCTACTTTTAGCTGCTCTCTGTCTTTTGTCTTAGTTATTATTTTGCTGATTATTGTTTCTGTTTAGCAGTTCAGTTCAGTTCATTCAGCACTGRGTCTTTACACCTTATTTTTTGCAGAAATAGCAGTTCCTCGGGTCTTATTAACATAGCTTACTTTAAACAAAATGTAACAAAAAAATGCACCCAAAGGCTGTAATTCTTTCTCTTGGAGGAAATGTTACTGAAGCTCATAATCTTAAGTTTTCAATATCAGTGTGCCATCCAAACTATAACACTAAAAGAAGACCCAATAAATCAAATTGAATTTTAGACAGCTGTGTGGAAAAAAGAGAAAAGGCCCTAACCTTGAGGTAACCTAAAGGCCGCTGGTCAGAGATTACTTTGTGTCTATTTCTGTCTTTCTCCCTGGTCCTTTCTAAAGCTTGTTAGTGTGTCTTCATAAATGGTACGRGTACGAAGCAAAAGTCAACATGTACACTTAAAGAACATCTTWACAAGCTCAACAAAAATATAAAATGTGGACTACTTATTTTGATTTTCTTGCTAATAWAAACGGCGTCGTTTCATCAGGTGTACTTCCCCTTTAAGCACTGAGGGAAAAAACCCGGCCATCATGACGTCAGGAGTAAAACCTGTCCACTGAAAAGTGAACTGTTTGTCGCGTTAGCGGTATCCGACTTTTCTTCTTTATTACCTAGCTTTTAGTTGGTCGTTTCAGTATTTTTAAGTAGAGTTGTAAGGTTTCGTGTTATTAATTGTGAAAGCCTAGTGTTGTAGCCAACTTAAAGGATGTTTTACTGAAGTTCCTGACGCATTTTCTTCTTTTTTTTGAGGAACCGGTGGAAGGCGGACACCACCAGAGATGGATAGGCTAACTGATAGCTCAGTTGTTAGCCGAGACTCATAGATCATAGCATAGGCTCTAGCTAGCATGCTAACAACTAGCTAATCGGTCATTTTTCGGCTAACCCAGTCACTTTGTTAACTTGTGATATCGACGTTACTATCTGCTTGTTTCTTGGCCTTACTTCAACACGTTGGTGAGTTTGTCCTAGGCCAAATAAGTCGGACAGCACTCGGTTTGTGTTTAAAGGAAACGACTGACAGTACGGTGTTATTTTGTTGGGAGGTGGCGGATAGTTTGAGGTTCAGCTCAGACTACAAACATGATATCCAAAGTTAAAAACCAGTTTCAAAACCCGGGCGGGCAGCAGAATCCCACGGGCCAGTTCGTCCCCTTTCACCCGAGACCCAACCTACAGATCAAGAAGAACGCCATAACAGACGACTACAAAATAACCAGCCAGGTGTTGGGACTGGGGATCAATGGCAAGGTGCTGGAAATCTTCCAGAAGAATACCGAGGACAAGTACGCGCTAAAGGTAGGTTCAAGTGTCAGAGAGACGTCACATCTTAGAAAACCACTCTTCTGTTTTCATCTTAGCATTGATGTAACTTTGCTTTATGTACTTGTGACTTCAATTATGTCTTATTTATTCTGTAAAACATTGGTATAGTGTTTTTTTTCCCCACCAACAAAGCTGGTATGGTGCCAATAGAAACAAAAACAAACTTAAATTCTTAATTTTTAAAGTCTAAGCATTTTGAAAGTGACATTTGAAAAAAATAAAATAATGTGTTCCCAGAGCATATTAATCTAGCTGAATTTAAAGCCTTTGGTTTTTGGGGGAGGCATATTTGTGCCTTTTTATTGGTTTGAAAAATCAGATTATATCTGATTTTTAAATTTCATAAACCACTAATCGTTTATTAGCCTACTACAGTACCAGTCAAAAACACTGACTGACCTACATAATCAGACTTTATATAAGTTTTGATGACAACACTGATTTGTAATATATTTTAGTATGATTCTTAGCAACACTTTTAAATGTCTGGAAACTGAAAAGACCACGTCTACCCCTTTTAAAAATTATTGTGGGACCAAACTTGGTAAAGTACTTTAGGACCCAGCTTGTTAACTAAAAGGGAAGTAACATAAAACAACCAGATGTTTAAGGCAGAACCAAGGTTACAATGTTTACTGAAAGAAAAATATACAGTCTGACACACAAACTTGCAAAACGTGGAAAAGGGGGAACAAAACGCCTCAGATACTGCACAAAATAGCAAAAATAATTATACTCAAAGCGGATTTCCAAACAAATCTGGACTCTCACCAGGCCTAAGCAATAAACTCCAAGCAAATAATGAAAGAAAACCTACGCTACTTTACCTACTCCAGTCTAACCACTAGGAATGTGCGATATGGCAAAAAATTCATATCACGATATACATTATGATGAGTGGCGGTAACGATATATATCAGGATACAAAACTTATCATAGAAAATAAATAAATCGCACATTAATTGAGTGGAATAAATATGTATAGGTAAAAAAATTTGACCTTAAAATCTCCTTTTTTAAAGGGACACTTTTAAGTCTCCCATAAAAATCTAAATTTAAGGGAGATCTACCTGGTTAAATCAAATAACACACACACACACACACACACACACACACACACACACACACACTCACACTCACACTCACACTCACACTAACTTTATTGTAATAGATATCTGCATCCATTGGATGCTGTGTTTGGAATAACCTGCTTCGTTTTAAGGTGGTAAAACAAATTGCTTATATTTATTCCTTTCTACACACTTTGCAGATTATTTTTTCTGCACTTCACGTGTTTAATCTGTGCGTGCTCCAGCGGGGTGACAATCATCATGTTTATGCTTTACCCTTTTTTTTTTTTTGGAAAGACAGTCTGACTGTCACCTTAAAGGCTGAGTTTTATATTTGCGCTTTGGAACCGCGCGCGCATTCGGCCGTGCGGCGTCGCGCTATGACCGCAGGAGAAACGAGGTCCAGACTCGGCGAGCTTTTGTGCGTCCTGGAGCACTGACTTCACCTGCACTGACAGTCACCTCGCTGCATCACCATGCGCCGCGGCGCGCGCTCCTCCCGCAGCAGGCAGTGTGATCGGTCGGCATCTGACCGGAGGATGTGCCATCACGTAAATATGTAAACAGTTCGGCGTTCATTTTCATACACCCGAACCAGGTCCGGATAAGTTATGTTTTCCCCCCCTCTTCATTTGCGCTCTCAGCCAGGCTGCTTCCCGTTTCCTCTGTTTTGACTCCAGCTGGTTACATCATCAAAAAGAWTTGCGCGGTTGACCGGTAGACTACARATATCCATCATAGGACAAATTTATATCGTTTCTACTGTATATCGTTTATATCGCGGATTCCTACTAACCACACAAAACCACAACAAAGAGCAGCACCCCTACTTCTAATTTACCAGTTGGGCTCTGTTAATGCAATGAATGTATATGTGCTGTAAACCAAAACCTGTCCCAGCCTCCTGTCAAACAAACGAGTGTCTCAACGTTACAACTAAACATGAAGTTACAAATGAGCAGTCACAAAAAGTGACTACAGACACAGCGGCAAGCTGCTCAAGTAGATGAATGTTATGCCCCAAACAAAGTGTCTCAGAAACAAATGCAGTCCTTGTGTCTGTCCTCCTCTGTCTTGTCCTCCCATTCAGCCTCCTCTTTGGTAGATGCTGAAAATGCTGCAGATACACATCTCTGTTTCTGGCTGAGTCTTCTCTTACCTGACTCCATGTACAGGTCAAGTGCTGGCTTTGGGTCTGTGGTTTTCTTTGACAGGTGAATGTGCACCAGGGCTGAGTGACAGATGATATCTGTGGTTTTAATATGTTCATATATTAATCATCTCTCACATGTTGCACTGTGCTCAAAGGCACTGCAGGGTGACACATTGAGTTCATCCTCGTGTTCTCCAGTTGTCAGCTTTTCCCTCTGAAGTGAAATAGATGTTTATAAAATGCTGTCAATATCAATCACGTTGGCCAGAAAACACTGAAATACATGCTACAAATCACTTGTGGCCTGGTGAATTTTAATGACTGCCATTAGGCTTGATATTTTTAAATGTTTTATGGCTTTTTACAGACCATCTAATGTTATGAAACTCACCCAGTTTCACATAGGAAATCCCATTCACACAACATCTTTAGCACAGCAGCTTTTTTTTTTGCTCCACCTTTTTGGCAAATAAAATGACAGCAGCTTGACCACAGAGTGATTGAATGTCTCACAGTAAGCCTCTGTTGTTCAATTTGCTTGGTTTACTAGTGACAAGTGCCCGGTTGGATGTATTCTTTTGCTAGTTTATTTTCTAYGAGTTGTTGTTGTTCCACATTTATGTGCTTCTTGCTTTTATGCTTCACAAGTGGGTATGACTAATGTTCTTGGAACCTGTATAAAACACACCTGTCTTGTCTACCAGATGTGGAGTCAAGTGACACATTTTACGCCACATTTCAGTGAGCTCCTCATTTGCTTCAAGCTATGATACATCTTGGAGCCTTTTAAAAGAAAATATAACTTGTTATTCTGTTTGGGTTTAAGTTGTTGCTTCTTTTGAAATGCAATAACTCAAGTGTAAGTAGCTGCTTAAGTCTGTTGTTCTTGGACATTCGTCTCATGTTTAGACAAGTATTGATGTCTCCTCAGAGCTTCTGAGGAAATTAGAGCAGGTACTGAAAATCACCTGTGACTTATTTCCTTGTTAACTCTGAAGCCCAGTCAAGTTTGGGTTACTGTTTGTGGTGATTATCAGGGTTCAGAGGTCAGATTTATAAAGGATTGTCTGGAAACCATACTAAAAATGAACGTACGGCTAAAAGACGAAAATGGCGTACGCCAAAAGAAATTCAGATTTATAAAACCGTGCGTACGCACG